TATGTATAAAATAAAATAAAAAATAAAAGCATCCAGCTTGGTAACCCTATGAATCAGGGAAAATGCAATTAATCTGGAATTCATCAATAATAAATAAATAACAAAGTAGGCATTAATACGCACAGAGTAGATCACACTGTGTCACCATTTTATTTACCGTTATTTCCTAACAAGTAAGGAAAATAGATCAATTACCAATCAAAAGAGAATATTGAAAACATGTAAAATTAAGATCTATTTTAGATTTTTGAACAGCAAACATTTGTGAAGGTTACATTTAATCCCTCGACCCTCAAAGGCTTCGCATCTGACTAAACCCGGGGCCGTTTGAGGCTCTCAGAATGAAGATGTACGTCCTCTAACTTTTACACAACAACCGAAAAAAAGCAGGCCAAAGTAGACAGCTGTTTAAAGTCAAACCTGCAGAATGCAATCGATGCAAATGTTTGAAGCTATTTTAACTGATAAGTTATGATTAAAATCTAAAAATGAAAAAGGCTTTAACTTATAAACACTATATATATATATATATATATATATATATATATATATATATATATCATTCATCAACAATGTTACCCTTTTTTTTTGGTTTCATTTTTATCTTATTGTAGGACCAGAAAAATTGAGTGACTCACTGAAAAGCAGAATTGTGCGCAACAGTTTTTTTAAATTAGCAAAATAAAGCAGAAGTGAGCAAAACTCTGTTTACTTAGGAATAAAGACCAATTTACGTGTTTCAATAATAAATTTTTCATTAATATATTGTTTGTTTTGTTTATTGTAAACACTTTTTTCCAGATTTTTGGAGCCTCTTTAAGTTCCTTTAATGTTAAATTTTTGGTCCCTATTTCTCTTACATCTTTGGGTTTAAAAAAACCTGTTGAATGTTAGAATTTTTTTCTTATTTTGTATGATGAAGATTTACACGGATCAGTAATTTGTTGATTTAAAAACAACTTTACACTAAAAAATTTGGAGCCCAAGAGGTAAAATATATAATATGAACAAAGACCTCATAAATCCCTTTGAAACATATAACTGATGTTATAGAACGGCTGGTTTTTAGACTCTAATTACAGTCTGGTTAAAAACGAGGCTTCCCATCCCAGTAATGCTTATTTTAGGGATTATAATCTACTCTTTGTGTTTGTTTCCTAATTTGTGACATTCATCCTGTAATACTTTTAATAATTAAACTAACAGTGATCCAACATTTAGTTGTTTAAAATATTTAAGGAAAAAGAAACAGGAAAAGTATTAATGTCTGATCATTTAATAGATGTTTTTTGTGTGTCTTTCAGCCATAAAGAAGCTGTAGAGATGATAAAGTGCATAAAGAGTGGTTATTTAAGAATAAGAGACACCAAATTTCAAATATGTTCCTTAAATATTCTTTGCAGACATCTATGCAGCAGGCTGTTAACAAATAAACAAAACAAGGGAAAAAACAAAAAATACAAAAGTGTGTCAGAGGGCAAACTGATAAACTTTAAACTTTCTACTCTATGGGCCTGATCTTCAGAAAAAAACAAGCAAACGTATTTGTAGAGCTGATCTTCACAGAAGGTGCAGAGCGATTTGTGTTTTTTTTATTTACCAGACCGTTTGTGAAAACCCTTCCTTTGCATGGATGGATATGCAGATACGATTCTTTTGACCAACAGGGCACATCATGAGGTGGAGGATATGCAAAAGTAAACATTTACCAACTGCAGAGCAATTTTCCAAATCAGAAACTGAACTTGTTTGCATTTTTTTAGTATTTCTGAATGTCAGGTGCAAAAATATCTGTGGCCTTCGTGGCGGAAAATGATGGAGGAATATTCTCAGGGTACATAAACATTTTTGAAAAATAACAACAGTAAACTAATAATAGTTAAGAAATAAAACATCTATTCAGGTGGGAACAAATTAATGCAGCAGGATGGGAAACTATCTTAATGCGATTAAACCAAATTGAAAAAAATGGCTACGCTTAAATATTGTGGCATGTTTATATACAGAAGAGGGGGGGGGGCAGTGTGCATCTTTTTGTGACGGATTTTTAAACAACCATGTTCAAATCATGCCTACATTTAAAAAAAGGAAAAAAAAAAGAAAAGAAAAGAAAGAAAAAAAGAAAAAAAAAAGAAAAACTGCTTTTAATAAAATTATATTTGACAACAAATAATGAAAATATAACATGATCCTGTTCAATTACGAGTAAACTATAGCAACAAGAAGCAAAGAGCCCAAAAGTGAAAAATAATCAATATTTACACTGGAAAAACTATCTAGAAATAAGTAAAAATGTCTTAAATGAAGTGTATTTACCTTTAATTTGAGTGGGTAAATGAGATAGTTTGCCAATGGAATGAGTACTGTTACTCTTAAAATAAGATAATTCGATAAAATGCGCTTGAAAAAAGACTATTCAATTGTTTTCTTATTTCAAATCTAAATAATCTTGTTTCATTGGCAAAATGTCTCTTTTATCTCCTCAATTCAACAAATGCACTTATTTTAAGAAAAAATTACTTATCTAGATTTCCATTTTTTCCAGTTTACGTTTCTTTGCTGTTGACACTTTGAAATAGCAACAGGTTTCACTATAAATACTATCTAGTATTATCATTAACATTTGTTTTTATTATTAATTATCATTATTATCTCCATCTGTATGCCTAAGAACCTCATCTTTCTTTTAGAGCTGCTCTCAAACTGCCTGTAGAACACCCAATCAGCACACTTTCATGGGCAGAACCAAAGCAGTTTGTACGTCTGATGCCCACTTATTATAAAAACTAAAATAAATTTGCAATTTAGAGCCTTTTATTTGGACACTGCTGATATCTTTCCATCCTGGCATCTAGGTAACAAATGCAAAACGTCCATTAAAGTGAAGACCTGCAAACCGTGATCAAAGATCCTTCCTCTGAGCTGCAGCTGGACTTTCTAACCACCCAAACAAATTTAATATGTTCTTTCCAACCCTGCTTTTATCTGCAGAGTTGTTTCAAATCTTGTAAATCGTGCTTTTCTTTTTTATGCACATGCATACATGCTTAAGTTGTTCATGTCTTAAATTATCCAACACAGCTGCACATCTCTTTAAATCTGCGTTTCTTAGCTCTAATGGCTGTGTTGTAAATTTGCCCTCACTGTACAGTTTCTAATTGTTTCAATTTTCAATTTCTAATGCTTATTTTTGTTGTTTTTATATATATATTTCTTTTTTTAATACATGCAGACCACCGTTTATCACACAACAGTAATAACACTGAATAATCTGCTGTGTTTCTAGACTTGAGAGTTGATTTAAATAATTGTAAAACCTAGAAATAATGCTTTGTATTTTTTCCCTGATTAGAACAGAGCGATATAATCAAAGAGGGTGTACTTTCACTTCATGAGTGGAAGGGACCATATCTTTAAACTCTTTTAAATAACTGAAACTTGACTTTAAAGCCATTGTCCCAGTTTCACAGCACAACCAAATACACAAATTAGCAGAGCATTTATCTTTGCAAAACTTTTTTTTTTGATTAACAATCGGGGTCAGAACTTCCTCAAACTAAAATGTCAAAGTTCCCAAAACACAAAACAGAACAACGCTGTTCAAACACTTACAGGTCTGTGCATCAAAAGCTTTCAAGTATGTGTGAGATATTTCAGTCAAAGTGAAGATAGAATGTGTGATAAATATAACTCTGTCAGGTTTCTGAGTTTTTACACAAAAGACCCAGTCAGTAAGAGAAGCAGACTACCTTCTAAAGGAATTGAAAAACTGAGCCGTCCCCTAAAACATGCCCTGCTGTTCAGCATGCTGCTGCTAAACTCCTCAGACCTCAAAATGGTACGAGAGCTTCCAGAGAAATGCTGCCTCAGTGCTTTGAACGCACACATGCGTACAGCGAGTCTGGCCTCACCTCAAACTCCTGCTCCGTCCCGCTGCTCAGGCTGAAGTTGCTGTGGGTGCTGAGCCTGTTGCTCTCAGTGCCTGATAAAAGAAATGAAAACAAGTTCATGTAGAAAGAAAACACGTGATTTCCAGTTTCTCTGAGGTTAGAGCTTGTGGTGAATGATGTTGTAAGACCCCTGCGAGACGAATGTCTGTTTTAGTCTATGGCTGCAGTTGTTAAATTGAGCTGCACTCGACACTAAAGTAAAGACCTGTCAATCTGAAAATATTTCAGTCTAAATTCCTAAATGCTGTCAAGTTTCAACAAAATGAATACCAAAAAGCAGCTTTAAAAAAAAAATTGTCATGTAACTTTAACTGCAGGTGTTTAGTGTCATTTTATTTCGTCGTGTTTTTAATGAAAAAATATTCTAGAACAAGCAATATCAGTAATAACTGAGGACAAACTATGTCTATGTCTTTATTCACCCTTAAAAATAAAATTAAAATAATATTGCTTGTCAGGTTCATTCAATGATGATTATAAAGTTCAAGGAATATTACACCCAAAACATGATTAGCCTTCATTTTCTACTCACCCCCAT